ATATTTAAAAGTTTGAAAACACCGTCTTATGTTACTTTTTCATTATTTAATGTACATTTTATGTACATTTTCTGTGTGTGTATATAGCAGTTCCAATGTGTTTTTTTTTTCTTAATTTGAATTTAATGAATCTTTAATGTGTGTGATCTCTCAGAGAATATCCCAGAAAAGTGGACGCCGGAGGTGAAGCACTTCTGCCCAAACGTTCCCATAATCCTCGTGGGCAATAAGAAGGATCTGCGGAATGATGAGCACACACGGAGAGAGTTGACTAAGATGAAGCAGGTGTGTTTCCGAGGCCGGCTGCACCACCACTATGGGGAGTCCCATTAAAAAGCTCTTAGCAGCTAACGTTACTGCCACTCTAGAAGGCCTGATCATTATCATTTGTCAAACTCCTCATACAATCAGTCTGACCTCTAATAACCAGTGACTGATGCTAGCGTGCCTTGCCCCCCAAATAATGTGTCAGCGATTGTGTTCGATAATCTGGGCAGATGGCCTCCGTGAAATCGATCCATTCAGTGAGCAGAATTGACATTGTATGTCATAAGTCGGCCTTTAGCTGCAGACAGTGCTGTGCGATTCTGACGTCCATCATTTGTTTCGAAATTTTATTGCATGTGATGATTCAGTTCCAACTCATCTGTTTTGCAGGAGCCGGTTAAACCGGAGGAGGGCAGGGACATGGCCAATCGCATTAGTGCCTTCGGCTACCTGGAATGCTCAGCTAAGACTAAGGACGGCGTGAGGGAAGTATTCGAAATGGCCACCAGGGCGGCGCTGCAAGTCCGCAAGAGGAAGAAGAGGAGCGGCTGCTTGCTGTTGTGAGAGAACTTTCCGGTCTTTTCCAGAATGATCTCCATAATGACCATGAAATACCAAACTCCACAAAAAAAAAAAAGTTTTTGACCAAACAACATAAATACACTGAACTGTATGTCACATTTCATGCAAACCAACAGATGGGAAATGGAGGAATGTGAATAAAATGTGCATTCATTGGACAGAGGCTGGGTAGAAAGGCAGGTTAGATCAGTATATTATATGTCTTGATTTAGTTTTCCTGTATGGCACAATGTTTTTCAGAATACACACTTTTTTTCTTCAGTTCGTACTGTACGGATGACATCAGTTGTAACGGTATTGTGGTTTTGCACATTTAACAATTGACCATTGTAGCTGAGTCTGGTTTTCATATTATTGTAATATAAATTAATATAACCATGTAGAAATATCTTAATAGCACAGAATTTGGTAATAAAATCAGTGCCTTCATCACCATTCCCTCCACAATTTGAATGTACTCCGGTAAAGTGCTAGTTTTGAGCTTCTCTGACTTTACACACTTTTCTAGAAGTGAGTAACTGTTTTTAAATGTATTTTAAAAATCTCCAATAGTATTGATTATGCTTATCTTTCAATCCCCAAATAAATTGTTATTACATGTAATTTGAAGGCTCAGTCACGTCTAAAACGAACTGCCAATTAGGAATGTGACGTATTTTATTTGCATGATCCTATTTGTCCTCCACACATGCATAAATGTACATGCGTGCACATGGAGCTCTATAGATACTAAACTGGTTGAACCTGTCTTGAATATCTGGGCTGAGCTCATGCTGTCACATAATCTGACTGTATTGTCCTCACATTAGCCGGTTTAAAGGACACATGCTTGAGTATTGTTAATGCAAACATTACATATTTTTAAGTTGTAATCACTTATTAGGTTTTTAGTGATTTTAGTGCACTGCAAAACGTCAAATAAATACACAAACCAGTTGCTAGCAAATGTATATTAGTTAGAAGAGGCCTTGAGTGCCTTTCTTTTCCCACAGAATTGTGTGCCTTTAGTTATCGGTCTTTAATGCGTATGGGTTGAGATGAATGTTTATGTGCATGCACACGTTTTGTTGCGATCAGTGTTGTAATGTTGCATGCCAGTAAATCATGAGGTGTTCGGGCCATCCGGGTTCGGAGAAAAACCGTAGCTAATTATACAGAGCTTTGCTTCTGGAAAAAGTTCTGTAGATTTTATTCGCCGGTGTAGAATCCATATAGTGATGTCACTTCCACTTGTCACTTAGCGACGCTACATAAATACACCCCCGTGTTTCCTGTCTGTGTTGACGGTTTGAATGAGCATTGAATTCATTAGCACGGTGTAGCTCGGTTTCCCTCTGCTAATGTAAAAAAAGAGGGTGAAAAGCACAAAAAATAGTCATCCCAAAAATGAAAAGAAAAAAAGGATATAGTTTGCATTATAAAAAAAAGAGATTTGGGTGGAAAATGTTCTAATTGAATTCAAAAATTATCTAAAAAAAAAAAAATAATTTATATATATATATATATAAACTAAAATTAGAAAATATTTTAAAATAATTATACAGTAATAATAATAATAATGTAATATATATATATATAAATTATGCAGTAATCATATTGTTTTTGGCTTTATTTTATTTGTGTGTATGTGTGTGTGTATATATGTATATGTATATATATATATATGTATATGTATACAGGGCTGTCCTTAGGGGGGTGCAACTGGTGCGGTCGCATCGGGCCCCGCGCTTTATGTGTATACATACACATATATTTTATATATATTATTTTATATAGACTAACCATCTGTATAAATCTTGACCACCTGGAACACTATTATTAAACGGGGCATTATTAAAACACTGACTGTACAATACAAGTGCATACAAGGAACATCCCATTAGAACAAGTACACACTACCTGCTAATAAAAGAGGAACATGTTCTTTATCTTTTTTTAATGTACTGATTTGTGAAATCCTCGATGCGGATGTGAGAACAGACCCATGTCCGTTGTAAAGTCATTACAGCGACCAGTCTTAGCATACAGAGCTCCTCTTTGGATTCTGAGATCAATCTGCTGTGTGTTCATATGGTCTCTTCCTTTTTTCTGGAAGTATTAAATATGATTTATTAATCTAGATTTTAATGAGCGCTCGTAGTAACAATGCTTCGTAAACGGGACTAGTAGTAAATGTTTGAATGAAGTGAAACCAACCTATGTTAATAAACTATTTTTTCGAAACAAAAAAAGTTGCACTTTTTCCTTTTGTGTGAAATAACATGCAATGAGAAGCAACCCATCTTACAAATGCTGGATCATTTACTATTGAAAAATAGTTATGTTGCTATATTTGCCAAGACTTTTCTGCCTAATTTTAAGTACTACATACAAAATAATACCACCATAGTTAACAACAACCAATTCAACCAAAGTCGTGCATTACATAAAATATTCTAATCATAACACCATAATATATATATATTTATATATATAAAACATTTCTTTAAAAAAAAAAATTCTAAAAATAAACTACTAAAATACTTAAAAGCTAAAGATATATATTGCCATAATTTGCATTGACAAATTTGTAATAACTAGGACAGTATTGTTTTTATATTGTTTTTAATAGCCATTTTTACTTGCTAGAAATATTTTCAATTAATTACTTTCAGTAAAATACTGCAGTAAAGTGCAAAAAAGCATTTGAAACGAGTAAATCTGCATTTTCAGTGATGTAGCTGTTTAAATGAAAGAAATGAAGCATTAATAAAAATACAGTGTTGACTAGTGACTAGTTAACATCAAGGTTGTCCAACTGCTAAAATCTCTCCATGGACTGTTTTGCTGAATTAGGAATTGAATCATTCATCTGCATTGTTTAACTAGCAGAAATCAACATTAAAATGAGTTTGTCAGTTCTGCTTTACTGATAAAAATTGAATCCCCATTTAATCTGGATGTAAACTGATGGTCTCATTTGATTGTTCTAAATCTGGTCCTCATTGTTCAGATCTCCACTCTGGATGCACATGCTGCTGTAGTGGGCTCTCGTCTATATCTAGACACACACACACACACAATGAGTCATACGAGCACATAATATAGTTACACTTCTGATCTGAAAGTGTTATATAAGGCTGCATACCATCAGAACTGATTTTTAAAGACGCCAGCCGGCTGACCACATCCTCCTCTCCTTCAGCATCCTTGTAGTCAAAGCCAGTGTAGCCCTGCTCGAGCTCACAGTACCTGATAAACCTACACAAATGAATACACATTAATGAACTACTCCATACAGTTCAGAACAGACTTTTCAAATCCACGAACAAACAAAATCAAGTATCAATCAGAGTCCAAAACTTGTGTGCAGTGCTTCTAAATATAACTAAGAAAAACAGTTAGATTTTTCCTCTTGGGCATAAGGCCAGTGTAAAGCTAGCTCATTGTTTTGCATAAGAAATGCCAATATGGTATGTTATAAAAGATGTTGGCAGCCAATCAGATGGTTTGTAAGTTCCAGATGGTTTTGTAAGTGGCCTAGTTGCCATTGGGTCCGCGACAGGTTAAGCTTAGAGGAACATACATAACTAAGTCTTACCTCTGCCAAGTAGGATCCTTGCTTAGGATGACTGGGTTTCCCACCACAGCGAGCAAGGCTTTGGCTCTGGTCATGGCCACATTAAACCTCTGTGGGCAACAGAAGGGCTTTACTACAGCATGGCATCATTTCTCTAATCTAAGTCCAAACAGATGGTCAGAAACATGTTTTGACCTCTATTGCTCTCATTATGAGCTTCTGTGATAAACTTGTCAACTTTTATTCTTGTAGCTAAAACAACTGGTATTCGATTCCACAAAGGCCAATCAGTAGCGCTTGTTCAGACTATATAACCTGACTTTGTTTAACAAAATATATTAGTTTATTCAGCAGGTATGGATTAAATTGATCAAAAGTGACAGTGATATTATATCTACTCATCAAAAAGAATCCTGAAAAGTCACAGTTTCCACAAAAATATTAAGCAGAACAACTGTTTTCAACTCTGATAATAATAAAAATAATTGTTTCTTGAGCAGCAAATCATCATATTATGATTTCTGAAGGATCATGTGACACTGAAGACTGGAATAATGATGCTGAAAATTCAGATTTGCTTCACATGAATAAATTACATTTTAAAATATATGAAAACATCTATTTTAAATTGTAATAATATTTCACAATATTACTGTTGATCAAATAAATACAGCCTTGATGAGCATAAAAAACATAAAAAATCTAAAAGCAGTAGTGTATATGCGTATACACTTGATTTACTGCATTACAAATTGCAATAAGGCGCATAAGCAACTTATCCAATAGAAATGAACTATAGACCTTCTCATTTGAGAGGAAGCCAATGTTGAAGTCTTGGTCCATCTTGACGTAGTTGACGCTACTACGGACGGTAGAAACTACGATGACTTTTCTCTCTTGACCCTGAAACTCTTCCACTGACCCCACCTACATGAACCAAATAATGAAAAGCACAAATGGCTCATAAATGGCAATATTGGGAGAAAAAGATGTGAATGAATAAATAAAAATCACAGGCCAACCTTGATGTCTTTCCATTTGTTCAACTCTGCCACAGTGTTCAGAGCTTTCCGAATTTTTTCCACCTTAAATGAATAAAAAAATATATATTTTGTTAAAGAGTAAAGAGGGGTTTTTATTTATTACATTTATTTTTACCTTTTCTTTTTGGATGAAATAGCTATAAAAGTGTTTAATCACATTTTAAGCCAACAGGACTTAAAATTCTACATTTTATTCATTACTTATTACAAGCTAATTTTACAACACAGTCTTGCCTGTTTCCTGTAAGGAGTGATAATGCCAATGTCATTGGCGCTGAGTTTTGGCAGGCCTTTCTTGCCCTGCGTTTGCATGAGCTTGTTGAGGTAGCTGACGATGACCTCGATCTCAGTCACGTTGAAGAATGAAGGGCTGTTGGCCTCCCTGTCATCCTTCCCCATCACTCCATGAAACACGACAGGAAATCCCTGTACATTACAGAAACAAGAAAAGTGCTTTATTCATTCATTGTACAACATTAGCAGCTTCCTCCTTTCACCTCCCTGAATTTCACCTCCGTGACAGATACTTTGACACACATATAAAGCACAGAAACATAGATAACTCAACTACACTCTTAAAAATACAGGTTCTTTATTGGCCATGAAAAACATCCATGGAACCTTTCAAGGTTCTTAATAATGGAAAAGGGTTCTTTAGATTATTAAAATGTTCTTCAAACTAAAAATATTGTTCTTTTAAAGTGCCCCTATTATGGGTTATGAAAGGTTCATATTATGGTTTTGGGAGTCCCCAACAGGTTGTAATGCATGCAAGGTCAAAAAACACTTTCATTGTGTTATAATATGCATTTATTTTTACCTTACTTGCTTAACGACTCCCAAACGATTTGTTTAACGATTCATTTTTCCAAACCCCTCCTTTGCGTGACGCTAATCTGCGGTGATTGGTCCGATTGGTTTAATTTTCATTTCATCATGCCTGTAATGCCTGAGAAAGCAGCGTTTGTGAGCACAGTGCTGCTTTGTTTACAGCGTTACCGGGGAAACAGCTATTTTACCGCTCCAGTGGTACCTAGTGGCAAAGAATGAATTAGCATTTTCATTCAGACCAATGCAAAAAGACAAGTGGGCGGGCAATATGCTAATGTTTCATGTCTACGTCAACATGAAACGGCTTGGGATTCGTTTTAAAAACGACTCGTTTCAATGATTCAGAGTCGACTCTTTTGAGAGGCAATAACTTTATACACGGTGCACTTTCAGATTTAAAACTTTGCAGGATGTTTTCATTCACTTAGAGCTGTGTTACACACTGCATGAAAGGTAATTTTCAAAAATCCATAATAGGGGCACTTTAAGAACTGTTCACTGAAATGTTCCTTGGGGATCCAAAAATGGTTCTTCTATGGCATCACTGTGAAAACCCACCTTTTGGAACCTTTATTTTTTGTAGAAATACCAGATCTACATAGATGTAGCCATTTTACAGTTGGTTCAGTATATTTTGGGAAGACTGATTCTGTTTGAACATTCGATTATCTACAAAAACAGCACATTTCTTTGCTTCTTACATCTTTGTCAGACAAAAAAACCCAGTGGTCTGGTACCTTCTTAGGGAGATGCTCCCAGCAACAGAAGGCCTCCCGCTCCATCTGGTTCGCAAACACCTGCAGCTCATTCTCATAGAAGAGCTCGTTGGGGATCTTGAGGATGGCGGGATGAGACCTGGGATGGGATGAGAAGAACTTGACAATAAGTTATCCGTCAACACTTTTGACATTAAAAACTGATGGGAGAAAAGATCGGTACCTGTAGTTGCGCAGAAGTTTGGTGACGAAGCGGGTGTCATATCCAGAATGACCATCCTGGCTCTTCTGATAGAGAGCGTTCTGTGTCATCAGCCTCTCCAGGAGGGACTGACCTGTTTCATATCACAAGGTATTAAAAATATATTTTAGGACTGAACTCTAGCTGAGTTTAAGAAGAAGAAATAAATGTAAAATATAATGGAAGTCATGAAACATCTTGGAGTACCCAGTCCGTGCAGTTGTGCCAGTGGAGATCTCAGAATGGGGCCCAGCTGCTGAGGATCTCCGGCCAAAACCAGCTGGCCCTTCACAGGATCGAGCAAACCTTGGGCAGAGAGAGAAAGAGCAATGTAGAAATGAACAATCTGTTCTTCTAATTCAAGTTCTCATTCTCCTCTCCCAACCTTTCCTCATTTACCCGCGATCCCGATGATACACTCAGGCTCCACGGCTTGTCCGGCCTCATCGATGAAAATGTGTGTGAAGTGTCCCTTAGCAAAACCTCCTGATACGAGCCTGAAGAACACACAAATAGATATTCATTTTTAGCCAGCAGAGCAGAACATCCCAGCTAGCACAAAGTAAGTTGACAGAGAATATGACAGGACTATTATGGAACTGTGCACAACCAGAATGGCCCGAGTTTCAGGTGCTATATTAGTTACGAATGAGCTTGCTGTACCTTCCAGCGGTGACCAGAGTAACAACAATGACACTGCGGTCCATCAGATCTTTTCTAGATGGGAGTATGAAGCTGTTGTGATCCTTATTCCAGTTACTGTGTTTCTATAAGGAACAGATATTTGAATATGAGTGTATTTATATGACAATAATTTTCAGATATTTCAATAAAGTAATATAGTTAATCTCTTAGATAAATGTGAGTGAATATATATATATATATATGTCAATATGGGGTGCTGTGTGTACATTAATGAGGAAAAAAAATTAACTTAAATGATTTTAGCAAATGGCTGCAATATAACAAAGAGTGAAAAATTTAAGGGGGTCTGAATACTTTCCGTACCCACTGTAGATAGAATAATGATTATTTATATATACATTTTTATATTTTAATGTATTGAGAATATTTACATATATAATACAAATTATAATACATTTTATTTATAATATATATGTAAATATTATTAATATATTTATTATTATTATAACAAAAGGTCAAGTCGAGTGCATTAGGATAGAGTTTTCTGCGCAGTGTGCTGGTGTTACCATCTGCATATTCCATGCATCCATTTGTGACCCATCTCATAGACTGTAAAAAAACATGGACGTAGTGTCCGTGACGTCACCCGTAGGTTTCTGAAG